TAGCATTTTTATTTTTATTTTTTAGTTTATTATTATTATTATTATATAAATTATTATTTATATAATTTAATAATAATAAATTAAAAGCTAAATTAAATATATAGTCTTTTAATATATCTTAAGCTATTAAATTAATAATATAAGCTATATACTTAATATTATTTATAAAATCTTTTTTATAAGCTTTTTTATAAGCTTTTTTAAAAAATTTAATAAATGTATTATTATTAAATACATTATCTTTTATAATACTAAAAATAAAATTAATATAAATAATAATAATAATAATAATTTATAAATTAAATAAATAAATAAATAAATAAAACATACCTTATAATATTATTATAATTTAATAAATAAAAATAAGCTTCTAAAGCTTTATTAAATTATTAAGAGTATTACTATTCGGGCAGTATTCTAACCCAACTAGGCTGTTTTTAGCTAGGTTTAGCAAGGCCCAGGCCGGCCTACTAAAATATAGTATAGTGCACTAGAATATATAAAATTAATTATAAATAAATATTATAACTTTATATTATAATATTATAACTTTAAAGTCCTATTAGGATTATATTAGACCAGGTATTATCTTTTAAAGACTTCTTTAATAGCCTTAATAATAATTCTGCCTGGCTATATAATATTAAAGATAGCCTTTAGCCTACTGATGTCCCTTTGTTGCTGTCAGTATAATAATATAACTCCTTTAATAAGCTCTTTAATTTATTACAGAGCTATTATTATAATTATAGCGCTGTAATTATTAAAAAGTCGCTTAATAATAAAGTTAATGTTAATAATAGTTATTTTAATTTTTTATTTAATATTATATAACTATAGTCAGGGTTGCCATTTAGTAACGATTCGTATCGTCACTGCGTTGAAGAAAACGAAACGAATTATTTTCGTTACTAATCGATTAATTGTAGTTTCTTCATTAATCTGACGAATATAATACGAAAAAAATCGTATTTCATTAATAATAATTAAATAAATACAAAATATGAAATTCATTACTAAATTCGTTACTAATTTATTTAAAAATCATATTTCATTAATAATAATTAAATAAATATGAAATATGAAATTCATTAAATTCATTACTAATTTATTTAAAAATTATATTTTATTAATAATAATTAAAGAAATACAATATACAAATTTTATTACTAAATTCGTTATTAAATTCATTACTAAATTTATTACTAATTTATTATAAATCTTATAATTATTTAAAATAGCTTATTATAATAATAAAATAGTATATTTTTATAAAATTAAATGAAATTAAATTAATATATTAAAATAAGCAAGTTATTTATATTATAAATTAGCAAGCAGGAAATTTTTTAATTTTAAGCTTTTAATTTAAAATTTAAATAATTTATTTATTTTAATATATAAATTTATTATAATTTTAGATTTATAATATATATATAAGATTTATTTAAAATATAATTTTTTTTTTATTTTTAATAATTATTATAAAAAAATATAATTAATTTAAGTTATTTTCTTCCTTATATTTATTTTTAAGCTCTTTAAAATCTTTAAACTAGCTTTTTAATAATATTATTTCCTTAACTAAGCTAGGATTAAGCCTATTTCTTGATTTAGTTATAATATTATTAAAAATAGAAAAAACACTCTTTATAGCAGTAGATATAGCAAGAATTATTAAATAATACTGCGCTAAAATAGATAATAAAGGAAATCTTGTATTATTTAATTTTTAGTATTTTAAAGGGTTATTCTATAATTTTATTAATAAATAAAATAAATAAAATAACTAAAATATTATAAAAATAACTAACCTTTTTATTTAATAATTTTTCTTTTAAATATAATAATATTTTATTTTTATTATTAATAATATTATTATTATTAATGCTTAAATAAAATTTTTTATTAGAATTTAATAAATTATTATTTAAGCTATTAATATTAATATTATTATTAATATTATTATTATTATTATTAATATTATTATTATTATTATTAATATAATTAAAATCTTTAGCTAATTTATTAAAAAATAAATTAGCTTTAGAATTATTATTTATGTTAATTTTATTAATTTTTTTATTTAACTTATAAATAATATTAATAAAATAAGTTAATAAAATTAATAAAAAAAATAACCTATTTATTATATTTTAATTTAAATAAATTTATAATATTAATATTTATATTAAAATAAAAGCATAATAATCTGTTTTTTATAAAATAAATATTTTTAAATTAAGGATTTAAAAATAAATTAAATAAAAAAGGCTTATAATTAATTAAATTAAAAGCAGTTATTTTCTTAAGAAAATATTTCTTTAATTTAGTTAATCTA